TGGAAATAGCATCTAGGACCTGTGTACGAAGTCGGGACCTCGGCAAGGTAAGATCCGCATTCGTGAGACAGATGTAAGTGGGAACCGTTGAAGTAAGCTCTTGTACCCTTTTGCTGCACCTTCTTTTGTCTTTGTGCCCTTCCGTGCGTGTTAGCTTGTTCGAGAGTCACCCTTGACCCTCTGTAATCTTTTCTTGTCCCTAGACAAACCCAATCACCCTTTTTGCCAAGTGATCATATTCTTCCGAACCTTGTTCTTGTTTTCTTTCCAAACCATCTTGTGCTATACGGCGGTTTCATCAGCTTATGAAGGAATCTGGCAAGGTCTAAGAGTTAAGTCGCGACAGAGTTGAGGTAGAGAGCCTTCAGTTCGACAAGCTTTGTGTTCAGACCTCGACCAATCTGGCAAGCACTTTGCCCCCCTCCCCCCCCCCCCCCCTTCCCCGTTCGGTGCGAATGGGGATTAGTCTGAGTATGCAACTTTACTTATTGTTTAATTTTTGACAATTGTCAAATTAATATTTATGAGTCGACTGTTGGTTTTTAGACTTTTGGAGTGGTCTGCAGTGGTCCAACACAATCGGAAAGTAGATATTTGTCAAAAAAATATAAAACTAATGATGTTATCCTCTGAAAAATCTATTGTGTATACTCAAAATGCTTAACCCTTTTAACGGTGTCGACGAAGGCTTTTTATAGTGGTCCGAGTGACCGTTGAGCTCAACTTATTATTTAATACAGTAAATGAACTAATTATCTACTACGCACATCGGTCAGCTGCTCTCTTCCACGAATGTCTTCATTACTATTATTAACTCTTCATTCATTGCTCATTAATGGCTTATCTTAGCGGACTGTTCGAGCTCTTCTCCTTTCAACCGCTCCTTACCGACTCCCTCTATTACTCGCCCTCAACTCGACTTTCCACTCGGTTTATCTCGGCTGACTACCCCTTTCTCTTGGCTCCCTTATCCTCTTGGACAGTCTAGGCCGACTCCTATACTCGTCAGGCACCCGACTCTTCCACCTATTCGACTTTATCCTCCTCCCGATCAGTTCCAGGATGCCTCTTCCATTCGATCGATTATAGGATACTTCCTCCACTCGATCGTTTCCAGGATGCCTCCTTCACTCGATCAGCTCCCAGATGCCTCCTCCACTTCTTCGACTCCTAAAGACCGGTTCATGTAGTCCCCCGCAAAGCGAGATGGCTTTCACTCTGAGTTGATTGATTCTAGCCAGATCAGCATTCACCATCTTTGGCCTTGGCAAGACATATCCCCTCTTTCTCTCGGTACTTCCCGACTCGTAACCCGATTGCTCGCTGCCTCGCTTGGGTCGTTCATCCAGCCGGTTTCTGGGGCACATACCCATCATCGACTATTTACTATTTTTCATATATATATATATATATATATATATATATATATATATATATATATATGAAAAATACCTCCAATGGTCCTCCGAGTATTAGCGATATACCAGCTCTGGTCCTCCGACTTTAAAACGACCACGAGTAGTCCTCCGTCTTTTTTAAAGTAACCACATGTGGTTCTCTGTTAGGGTTACTATCAAGTTGACTTTAAGGGTAGAGGGTAAAGATGTCATTTCCATTTTACTTATTCCTACGCAGACTCTTCCTTGGCCCAAATTCAATTTCCCCTAATTTCCACTAATTTGTTTTGCCCTAAATTGGAGAGACGAATTGCAGAGTGCGAAGACGAAGAAGACGAAGTGTGAAGACGAAGAAAGCGAACTCGACCACCTTCTCATAGTCATGGTTGACGACACCATCTCCATAGAAAGCAAAGAGCACCCAGTGGACGAAGGTAAGGTTTATATATATGTTTCAGAATGCGCATTCAACTATTTTTTTAAAGCAAATGTGGTACCCACATGATTATTGGACTTATATATGTTGTGATAAAGTATTGGGGACCACGTTGTTTGGTTTATGTTTTGTTTAACTTTAGCAGGTGGGTGGGGACCGTGTGTTGTTGTTGGTGTGTGGAAAAGTGTTCTTTTATATATCTTTACAACTTGATACGTGTGATTTCCTGCTAAAAAAATACATGTGGTTTATTGTGCTTCGTTTTCTTGAAATCTGGTTTGTTTTGTTGTGTAAGCTTATTTAAATGTGATTTGATTTGCAGAAAATGTAATATCAAATAGTGGATTTACTCTTAGGTTAAAACATTGAGCGTTTTTAGGAGAAGGTGAAAACCCTAGATATGTGGGAGGAGCAACAGAAATGTTTCACATGGAAGTAGATGAATGGGGATTAATAACACTTTCTGATAAAATGAAGGAATTGGGATATGCATGTGTAGAAAGTGTTCAGTTTTTTATGCAAATTGTTAGGGGTTTAGTTGAGTTAGTGACAGAAAGGGTAGCTTGGGAAACATTTAATCAGCTAGATTTGTTTGATGTGGTTGAGGTTTGGGCAGTTGGTGGAGAAGACATTAATGAAGACAGTAGTTATGAGGGGGGGGGGGGAATAGATGAAAGTGAATGTGATGAGGAAGATGACTTCGAGTATGACATTAACATAGATCTAAGTGTAGAGTATTATGGTAATGAAAATCAGGTGGAGGAAGCAACCAACATTCCCAAAAAACATATTAATGGTGATGTGGAGATACGTACTCTAATGAGGATAGTGCAAGGGATAGCAATTCAGACAGTGAGAGGCCAAAACTACCCCAATTTAGGCCTCATAGTGAGATGAAGTCACCAAAATTCTGCATTGGATTAACTTTTAAGTCAAAGGAACAATTTAAAGAAGCTGTAATGAATTATGGTTTTGCTAATGGGAAGGAATTGAAATACCTTAAAAATGATACTGTGAGATGTATAATTATTTGTAAACATGATGACTGTCCTTAGAGGATAACTCTTAGGAAAGAAAAAGATTATATGAATTGGAGGGTGAGTACTTTAGTTAATAGGCATGAAGTGTGCACTTGGGTTTGGAAGAACAAAATGGTGAACTCTGTTATTGTTGCCAAAAGATGGAAGCATGAGATTGGATCAAACAGCACATGGAAAAGTGGAGAATTCTGTGAGAAAGTGGTGTCTGATGAGAGATTTCTGATCAATAATAGACAAGCTTATAGGGTACTAGTGAAAGCAAGAGCTGAGATTGAAAAAGAACAACATGATAACTTTAACAAGATATGGAGTTACTGTGAAGAGATTAAAAGAACCAATCCACATAGCCGTTGCTTTGTTAAGCCGACAAATTTGGAAGATGGCCCACTCAGATTCTTAAGGTTCAATATGTGTTGGGAAGCTAGTAAAAAGGGTTATAGGTACTTGAGGCCTATAATTAGGGTTGATGGGTGTCACTTGAAAGCAAAGTATGGTGGACAGTTGCTGTTAGCAATAGGGATTGATGGTAATGATAGTGTTTTCCCACTTGCTTATGCAATTGTAGAGGGTGAGACAAAGGACTCTTGGAGTTGGTTCTTAAAAAAGCTGAAAGATGACTTGTGTATTTCAAAAGATGAGGAAAAAAAATCGACCTTTATTTCAAGTACTTTACTCTTAAATGTATTTCAGGACCTTTACTTATTCGCTAACCCTTAAATGTAACTGCAACTGGCTTTGTCTATGTTAATGTTACAGACAAGCAAAAGGGACTACTTCCTGTTTTTGAGAAAGAGTTCCTTGGAGCTAGTTACAGGTATAAATGGGACCTATGTTTTAGCATGCTATTTTTGAAACTGTTTTGACACTTTTGTTTGAAAAGCTGATTTATTAAACTATTTTTTTAGCATGCTATTTCTAAAACTGTTTTGGCACTTCTGTTTGAAAAGCTGATTTATTAAATTGTTTTGGCCTAGGTTTTGTGTTAGGGATCTTCATGGAAACATGAAGCTTGCAGGGTTCAATGGAAAATCTATTAAAGACAACCTGTGGGAAGCAGCAATAGCTACTACTATCAACCAATTCACACAAGCCATGAACAAATTGAAGACACTAGATGCAAATGCTTTTGCTTGGTTGATAGAGAAATGGTTGATAGAGAAACATCCATCAGAATGGTCCAGGTCACACTTCACAACTACTTCTCACTATGACATTTTAGTCAATAACATTTGTGAATCTTTCAATGCTGTAATTCTAGAAGCTAGGGAGCAACCATTACTGTCTTGCCTTGAGAGCTTGAGGAAAATCATGATGAATAGGTTTTATGAAAATAGACAAAAAGGAATGAAGTGGAATGGACCTGTGTGTCCTAGAATAGCTGCAAAAATAGTTGTAAATGAAAAACATGCTGGGAGCTATATGGGAATTCAATGTGATGAGTTCAGATTAGAAATTAGGGGGGTGTATTTCCAAGTGTCTGAGCAGCATGAGGTAGATTTGGAGAAGATGACTTGTAGTTGTAGGGGATGGGAATTGAGTGGAATACCATGTAGGCATGCTATATGTGCTACATGGATGAAGAATGGGAATGGGCCTGATTCTAACTATGTCCACCAAACCTACTTGGTTGAGAATTACTTGAAAGCATATGAAGGGAGTATACACCCCATGGCAGGGCCTTCAGAATGGCCTACTGTTAGTGATAGGCAGCCACCTCTCCCACCTTTGTACACAGCAGAGGCTGGTAGGCCACGCAAGTTGAGGAAAAAATCTGGAGGGGAAGACAAACAACTAGTATCCAAGGATGGTGAGCATATAAATCGATCCCATGTCAAATTACACTGTAGTTTATGCAAGAAGGAAGGCCATAACCGTATAAAGTGTCCACTAAATCCTGCAACGAACAACAGACAGGTAAATGCATTAATCCACCATGTTTCCTATCTTATATTTTTCTTCTAACTTAATATGTCATATGTAGCATAATCCAAAGAAGAAGTGCAAGTCTAAGAAACAAGGTCCTATTGGTACAAACATTGTTGATCCAAGTCCAAGTCAAGCACCCCCAACCATGGCAGCTGAAATGGACATTGATATTCTAGATATGTTGTTAGCAAATTTGGATATTGATGCCAGTGTCTGAGTTGATTAATGGCAGTGGCATAACTGCTGGACAACAACAAGGTTTGCTCAATCTGCTAATCACACCCCTTTTATTTATGCATTGCTAATCTGGTTTGAACTACTAATATGCTAATATGCTAATCTGCTATAGGAGGAACTGGAGGCATTGGAGCCATTGGAGGTAGTGGAGGAAGTGGAGCTAGTGGAGGCAATGTACAACAGCACCAAGAGCATGAAGAAATTGACCTACACACCCCCTCTACTCAACCACCTATAGATAGGGATGATGAGAATACTCAACCTCAGCCGGATGATCACAATACTCAACAAAGGACTACTCCTACTCAAAAAGGAAAGCATGTTGCTGTCAAGTGTAGGAAATATCCAACTCGTGGTTCTAGCCAAGCATTGAAGTCTAAATTCCCACCAACTTCTGCTGCCGATCCCTTGAATATTGACTAGAATAGCTGATAAACAATGTGACATTTTGTTTTTGGTATTTTGAAAGGTTGTAATGATGGCAAAACACTTGTTCTTTTGCAAGCCACACACTTGAAATTCTGTTGGTTTTTGGTATTTTGGAAGGTTGTAATGATGACAAGCGAATAGTGAAAAATGCAAATGTTAGCATTTCCATAATAGCATTTTGTTTTAGCATTCTGGTTAGCATTTCTAGTGTTAGCATTTTGTTTTAGCATTTTTTTTTAGGATTCTCGTTGGCATTTTCAGTGTTAGCATTCTGTTTTAGAATTTTTTTTTTTTTAGCATTCTGTCAATAGGTATAAACCATTCCCAACTAAATTAACGTTGCCAATTATGTTTAGCAATGGTTAGCATTCTGTTTAGCATTCTTCAAGTTTCAGTTCATAAACCATTCTTCAATTTGCAGTCTTAGTATGCAATTCATAAAACATTGTCAATTAACCTTTGCAGTTCAACAAAATTAACCATTGCCAACTAAATTCAATAAACACAATTCACTTGACATAATAGCATTACCATAACCATTACCAACTAAATTCAATACAACACAATTCACTGCCATAAAAGCATTAACATAACCACTCCTAACATGGCCATAAAAGCATTAACATAACAACTCCTAACATTACCACAAACAATTCTAAAATTACCACTGCTAACGTTACTCATCAATGGTAATTGTAGGACAACATCCTTATCTTATTAGAACCCACAACTTTTTCTATATAAGCAAAAACAATTCCAAAAAAAACTAACAGTATTACAACCACGAATATCAACCATGTGTAAATGTTCTTCATGCCCGGTTCAACACGCGTTGATCGAATTTCTTCAAGTTGCCCAGTCAACCTTTCAATTTCTTGTTCATGCTGGTTTATCCTCTTTAACAAGGCCGGAATTATCATTTTTGATCTTGAACACATGGAAGGATCGAACCACTTGAAAAATGAACAATTTTTAATCCCTTGATGTTGTTTGTGAATCCAAAACAATTGTGAATTAAATTGTGAACAATTGTGAATTCAATTACGCCCAAAAAAGTACATAAAATCAAATTTTTACTTACCCTTTCATTGGAGCAGACCAAATACCTACGCCCTGGATTTTGATTGAAGTACAAAGCTTCATAAAATTTCCACAAATAAATAATCGGTCATTAACGACGCCTCCATTGCGCCTCCTAATCGTAGAGCTTGATCCATAGGACGCCTTCATTGCCAAACAACGAACCAACGAGCTTCAATACACTGTATATTAGGGCTGTGAGAGATTTGGGCGAAAATGGCGACTTAACACGCTGAACGGTAACCTTAAAGAGAAAAAAAAAATAGGAACTGACAAATTTGCCCCCATATTAACTTTTACTTAACACCATCTCTAAGGGAGGACCACGGGTGGTTACTTTAGAAAAGACGGAGGACGACTCGTGGTCATTTTAAAGTCGGAGGACCAGAGCTGGTATATCGCTAATACTCGGAGGACCATTGGAGGTATTAACTATATATATTTATATATATAGAATCGCACTCAGGTGCGAATGCTTCGCCCAGGCGCGAAATAGGAATGGATTCTGTCCGTCCACGTGTCCAGATCTAATGGATGAGAAACACTGATTTTTTAAAAAAAACGCGGTGACATTTTCGTAAATAATTGAACATCGAAGTGCAAGTAAAATGTATTACAAGTGCATGTAAAATGTATTATCGGTGCAAGTAAAAATTTATACTGAGCATCAATACTTAGTTGCACCTATAGTTATAAGTAGTTGCACCTATAGTTCTAAGTAGTTGCACAAATAGTTATAAGTAGTTGCACCTAGGTGTATGAATGTTTGCGAGTGGTTTTCAGGGTATTACTACTCGCTGAACTCAGATCAATGAATGTTAACAAGACAAAATTACATGCACTTATAGGTGAAAGTAGGTGCACCTATAGTTATAAGTAGTTGCACCTATAGTTATAAATAGTTGCATATATAGTTATAAGCACACACAGGTGCATGAATGTTTGCGAAAAGTGAATGCTAACAAGGCAAAATTACATGCACTTATAGGTGAAAGTAGGTGCACCTATAGTTACAAGTAGTTGCACCTATAGTTATAAATAGTTGCACACATAGTTATAAACACACCCAGGTGCATGAATGTTTGCGGAAAGTGAATGCTAACAAGGCAAAATTACATGCACTTATAGGTGAAAGTAGGTGCACTTGTAAGTGATTTTACTTGCACTTCGATGTTCAATTATTTATGAAAATGCCACTGTATTTTTTTTAAATTATTAGATCTGGACACGTGTCGCGCGCTGATTCGTTCGCATTTCCCTCCTGAGCACTTATTCGCACCTGAGTGCATCCCTCTATATATATATATATATATATATATATATATATATATATATATATATATATATATATATATATATATATATATAATCAAATGAAAACTAAACTTCTCGTAAGAAGTATGAATTAATTAATTAATTAATGACCAATAACTAAAAATTTTAAAGAAAAAAAAAAGGCATGATAAATTCAAATGAAAACTAAACTTCTCGTAAGAAGTATGAATTAATTAATTAATTAATGACCAATAACTAAAAATTTTAAAGAAAAAAAAAAAGGCATGATAAATTTTTTTTGAGTACTATTGACTTTGTTACAATGTACTCCGTAGTATATATTCATATTTACTTTCTCAACCTGCTAAGCACGTATAAAGAATCTCAAACCCTGATCTCCTATTTGGCAGAGCCACTTCACTAGACCACAAGATCATTGACAAATATGATAAATTTTATAAATATTAATTTGAATATTAAACAATAAGTGAAATTGCAATAGAATAATTATCTAACTACTAGTCTACTGATCTTCTTTAATCTACTAGCCTGTAGTGGGGTCCCCCAATAAATTCCAAACCACAATGATTAAAACTTTTGTAGGCATCATTTGTTGTCATTATTATTTGAATTTTATTGTTCCAAAAACATTTCAAATGGTTAAACATTTTTTTCTAAAAAACACACAAGTTGATCGCTAAAAAAATTCAAATCTAACAACACATACTTAAATATTTATTGAAAAAAAAAAGTCAAATTATTACACATTCAAAAAAAAAAAAATCTTAATTTACCACCAGATGTCATTAAGTAAGAATTTATATTTAATTTATACTTCATTTATCTCATTTTATTTGTCATATTTTCTGTTCATGAGTCAAACTAATTTTTTTCTTATTTCGTTTAGTATTTTTTTTAATTATTTTTAAATTTAATTTATTTATTTGATATATGAAAATAACATGTTAATGAGTTTAATGATCATTTTTAAAAATCTAATGATTTTTTGACTATTCGTATAAAGTTTAGAGATTTGTTCGATTATTTTATTATTTTATAATAATAATAATAATAATAATAATAATAATAATAATAATAATAATAATCCGTGAGTTGTGGATGAATTTACACCTCCAATTGCGGCTTATCGTGATAACCCATCAGGTTAGGGAATCAGGGATTTGTAAGTTGCATACAATTTTTTTTTCTTAAAAAAAAAAAAAAGAAAAGAAAAAAGAAAAAGAGGCCATTTTACAGCTTGGCATTTATTTATTATTTTCTTAAATAATTAGTACCAACCATGCAGCATACGCGGACAAAGCGGGAATATGCATATATTAATTTGTTTTGGATAAGGAAACTGATAGATTTTATGAGTGGGCTTACGGCTTACCTCCATAAAGCGACACCCTCGCCCTAATTGGCGGGAATTCTATTTCACCTTCCACAATTCAACTTGCAACCTAATATAAAACACAAAAACAACATTTAAATCAAAATATAAAATAAAATTTGAGAAAAAAAATTTCTTTTAAAGAATTTTCATGCAACATAGCTGACCACTAATACTATATTTTCACCCCCCCCCCCAAAAAAAACCGTTTGAGATAATCCCATGGTATGTTTTAATTAATTAGGAGAAAAAATAGTTTGGTCGCCTTTTCCGGCAACCTGTTGGTCGTGCTTTAGTTGGAATTTCATCGGAACTCTGCAAGTATATTATTGACCTGTTATTGCAGGTTACTATTAATATGTTGGGGGTGTGTTTGGAAAGCAGGAAAATGACTTTTGAAAAATGAGTCATTTTTCAGAAAATATTTTCCTTCCCAGCGTCTAGTTGCATTTCAAAAAACTGTATTGGGGTGTTTGGTTCATTTCTGGAAAATGAGCATAATTATTTTTAATTTTAAATATTTAAAATATACAATGATGGTGGTGGTGGCGGCGGCGGATGATTGGCTGCTCCACTGTTGTAAACAGAAAATGAGTTCATCCCCAAAAAAAGTGAAGTTATTTTTCAAAAAATTTCCTCTATTTTCCATTGACTACCCTTATTTTCTATTGTTTTTTATTTTCTCGCTCTAGCCAAACACTGAAAACTCAAAAAATGATTTCTATTTTACGAGTTTCCAAACTCACCCTTAATGTAAATTGTAACTTTTAAAATTTCGAGAGCTTAATTGACTTCTTACATAAGATTGAAGGGTGTATAAGTATATTTGACCCTTTTTTTCTATTTAATATTAATTTGTTTTTAAAGCAAAAAAATAAATAAATAAATAAATAAGGGGCGAGTTTCCCGCCAAAAAGAGAGGAGGGGGCCAGGGGGTGGTTTACGTTGAATCGTGGATATGAAATGATGTCAGAGAAACATTGCTATCTTTGTTCCTACATTCGAACTCAACGGTCAGGTTTCATTGGTGGCAGGCAGCTGTCTCCCACTACACTACAACTACACCCTCCACAAACAGCTCACCCCCACATGCCACACCCTCCAAACATTCAAACATCTTACAACTCCTTTTCTTTTTTTAAGTCAATCTTACAAGTCTTTGGTTGTGTAAGGAAATAAGGAATGAATTCTAATTTGGTAGAAAAAGAAAATGTGAAAATAAAATAGGAATTAAAATGCTAAGCAC